TCCAGCTCTGATTTCCCTTGCCCTAGATTCCCCAAGATCTACTGCCTGTCTTTGCCTGTCTCCCGCTCCCTATCTCCCTCTCTCGCCCCGGATATACCTCAGCTCTTCGAGCCACACAATTAATGGCCCCCCCGACAGACGCAGACTTGGCGCTGGGCGCAACAACAGTTTACTGAAAATTTATGTGCCCAGAAATTTGCACATGTTAATTGCTACAAGAAGGCAGCCCTGACGTTGCCCATGGCTTAGGGGTGGTGTGGGGGCAACGGCTAACGGCTACTCAACGCCATTACTAACGGGCCAATGTCCAACGACGTCACGACGACGTCCGGTGACGCCGAAAATGCTGCGCGAACAAAATTTATGGATAATTTATCGAATTTATTTATTTTCTTTTTCGCTTTTCAGTTGCCGCAAATATGTATGTATACCTCGTGAGCCCAGCCGAGCATTGGGGCATATTGAATGTCGCTTGTATGCTGCATAAAGTGGCTGGCTATATATTGGAGTATATTCTAAATCTTATGGCTGATCCTGAGCCTTATCCTGAGCTCAGCCAAATCAGGAAATAGCCTGTGGCATACCTTGGATTAAAGCTAAACCTGCATTTATATTTATATTTATACTGAATCTTAACTGCAATGAAGCATAAATATTGCAGCCAGAAATGTTCCCTTCCGCATTGCCATTCGGTATTTTGCCGTATTTATATCGATTATTTATCGATTAATGGGTATCTTATAGTCGGAAATGTTTTCGATTTTGTACTCTTTTGCTTGTGTTTACTTTCAGATTTTCTTTTTAAATTTAGCTTGTAACAATTTTTCATAATTTTGCCGTTGGCATAAATCAGGCAGCGATAAAGAGTGGGAAGAGTGAGAGAGGGGGAGACATTTTTCTAGACATTTGTTTTAGGCAACAGTTTTGCAGTCACCGCACACACATTTACCCCCACATTTTGCTCTGCTCCCCTCTGCTCCTACTATTCGTCACTATTTTTTTTCTTTTTTTTTATATTTTTCTACTAACAAAAGCAAACAAGGATTACAAAAAATGATAAAGGCGAATAGAGAGTGGAGAGTGTGAGGGGGTGTGATGGGTGGGTGGGTGTGTGCTGCGAGGTGCCTGGCCTGGTAGGTGGAAGAAGCGTAAGCGAGCATGAGCGACGATGTCTGCCACAATTACGACAGCAGCAACAGCAGCAAGCAGCAAGAACAGCAAAACCCCCTCTTCGGTCGTCGTGCTCGTTGTCGGTTATTACCGTTACTCTTTGGCGTCTTTAATTAAGGCCTGGCCAAAAGGAGGTGGCCATGATGTGACAAGGGGGCGCAGCAGCAGCAGAAGCAGCAGCAGCAGAGAAATTGTAATTTGTTTGTAATTAATATTCTGAGGTTTATGCATTCAGCGAAATTCAATATCATGTGCATTCAGTTTGGGGAGGGGTCTGCGAGGAATGCTCTAAGGGTGGCGGGCGGTGAGTGGAGTGCAAATACAGATACGGTCACACTGAATTCACGCATAGAAAACGGTGACTTGGCATTCGGTTTGAATTCGGTGCAGTGGTGGGGAAACAAGACTTCCCGGAAGTAGGATGCAGTCAGTTAATATCGGAGGCGACCCTAGCGACATATACTGCGGGAGGGGGGTGACAGCGACTAACCCGATTACATTCCCTCATATTCAATTAACAAAAGACTCGAGCTCAAAGCAATATTTAATACTCGACGCCCCATCCAGGTACAGGAACAGGCAGCATGATGCAGCAAGATATTCATTAATAATTCACTGATAATTCACTCCTTATGCGTTCATTTATTAATTGGTATGTAGAGTCTCACTAATTAACTAATCAAATTAGCTTCACCGATGCTGTAAGTGTGCAAGAAAAGGTAAGAAAAGGCCCCCGGCCAATCCCTCCATTAATATGCAAAATGTGCATTAAGTGGAATGTGGAAGTGGCACACGAACATAACCCAAAAGGCAGATTACCCAATTATTGTGCATGGTCACACTCCACACGAAGAACGGTCACACAAAATGCAAATTATCGAAAATCAACGCATGATCGCTCCTCAGATGATAATAAATTGAATTTAAATAAAAGTTTCAAATATTTGCAATCGTTTACCCTGTAAATCGGAATTACAATTATTGTTCGGGTCTGGGACTCACCTTGCGCTTATTGTACGCGTGGGGATGGTGGGGGGGGTACGCTGCCAACTGTTGGTTAACTGTTTCTAGGCCTCTGCTTTGGCAGGATAACAATGCAATGGAATCTCTTTATCTTTCTCTTTCTGTTTCAATTTCGTTTCGTTTCGTTTGGTTTGTTTTGATTTTGATTTTGATTTTGGTTTATGATTTATGTTTCAAGTGCACACCAATTTGATGGAATGCGAATATTTAATGATATTTACACTAATGTTGTTGGTTGTTCTGCTGCTGCTGTTGCTGCTGCTGACGGCCACGCCGCTTGCACGTGGCAGCTCTGGCTACCGCCGATGACCGCATGGCTATTTGTCTCTAACGATACGCACACACACCACACACACACGGCTCTTTGGGCAGATCTCCAGGGGCAGATCTCCACTCGCACTTCTCTCTCAAGCACTCGAAAAAAAAATACAAGACAAAGCAGGGACTGTCACAGGTTTTTTGATATTTTTGGGATTTTTGGCACACGGCGAATGAATTGAAATGTCGCGATTTGGGTGGACCTCCTCTGTGTGCTGTCGGCTGTTCGATTTGCTCGATGTTTTTGGGGGCTCTTTCGTCCGCGCAGCATCCGTTGGGGCTTGGAATTGGTAAACAACTGAGTGGGTCCTTAGTGTTGGGGCTGTTGGGGCTGGTTCTTCGCGCAGCATCCGTTGGGCTTTTTCGAATTTGTGCGCTCGAATTTGTGAATCCAGTGGCATGCCATGTTGCTGTTAACTTAACAGGTAAGTGTTCAGTGCGCTGCAAACTAGCACATGGTTTGAACCCTACTTTGAATGCACCCTGCAGCTGTTATTACCTATGTGGTTACAGCCCCATGTTGAGTTATTACAGCAACATGTTATGTTAACAACAGCAGTTGCCAGTGTACCCACACCCTCTGCATTAACTAAATAACATATCGACTTATCGGAACCAGTTCTTTAGGTACAAAACGACGCATTTATCGCACGAAAAATACCGAAATTGTTCGATAACAATAATGAATCTAAACAACATCTTTCTAGCAGCAAAGTCTTTTCAGCATGTGGCTGCAACAAACTTTACAGATTTCAAATTCAACATTTACGTTTGATGCGTTGGCCGTTTTTTGTTTGAACATTTTTATGTAAACAATGCAATAAAAAGGACTTCTAAAAACTTGCCAATTTAGAAAAAAATAAATATATACAAATGGAAAAAATTAATTTGTTAGGGCCAAAATTCCCAGCTAGCTAACTTAGAATATACAAATTCGAGGAATATCAACGTTGAATGTTTTGAAAAAAACAATCGATACTATCGTGATAGTATCGGTCTCAAATAATTATTAAAAAACCATTGAAAGCTTTTAGGATCTTGTCCATTGTAAAAATTAGATGTCACCTGTCGATTTGTTTACAAATTTGTCTTCGTATTTTATAGCAGCCAATCCAAACATATGAAAAGCGCAACGACTGTAGCTCGATACTATAATGATAGTCGCAAAACCATCGATAGTAGAGGCTAGCAGCAAAATATCGATAGTATCGATAGTGCCCTCGATGGTTTTGCAGCCCTATCAAACAACTCGACAAACTACGTGGCTGCGAACGGGCTGGCAGAATATAGCAATTACCTGGGCAAAAAAATATACAAACTCGAGGTAACAATATGCAACCGATGCTCGCCAAGCTGCTGCTGACTTTGTGCGGCCTTTGCCTGCTGGCCACCGCCGGCCAGGGCTTCATAGTCAGCGTAGATGCCCACAACGAGGAGTGCTTTTTCGAGAATGTCGAAGGCGGCACCAAATTCGGTGAGTGGCACTATTCCGCATAAGCTTTGGCCCCCGTCCACTATTAATCTGGCTAATCTCTGTTCCAGGCGTCACTTTTGAGGTAATTGATGGCGGCTTCCTGGACGTGGACATTAAGATCAGCGGCCCCGAGAACCATGTGATGCACGAGAGCGAAAAGGAGTCGTCCGGGAAGTACACGTTTGTGGCACCCGCCAAGGGCACATATACGGTCTGCTTCAATAACGAGCGCAGCAGCATGACCCCCAAGCTGGTCATGTTCTCCATCGATGTGGGTGAGGCGCCGCAGCGTGCACCGGGCGCACCTGGCGAGGAGGAGGTCGGTCACACCAAGCTCGAGGACATGATCCGTGAGCTCTCGGGCACGTTGACCAGCGTCAAGCACGAGCAGGAGTACATGCACGTAAGTCCGCCGGTAGATCTTCGCTGGTCAATGAACTTTTTTATTGATAGTTGTTTTTGCAGGTTCGCGATAAGATCCATCGATCGGTGAACGAGAGCACCAACTCGCGTGTGGTTTTGTGGTCGACTTTCGAGGCACTCGTCCTTATTCTGATGACCGTGGGCCAGGTCTACTATCTTAAGCGCTTCTTTGAGGTCAAGCGCGTTGTGTAATGAAAACAAAACAAAGTGGAATGGCGCGGAGCGGAGGCATGCCACCCGGGGGGGATGGGTGTGGTGGGAAACTAGCTGTCTCAGTCTAATTTAAATGAATGATTAACATCTTTTTGTAATAAACCTTAAACAACAAAACACCAAAAAGATTAGAAATTTCGTTTGAAATTCATGATCTGGCCCCGCACTGCCGCCAACAGTCTTTTTCTCGCCAGCCAGCTTAGGCCCGATGTTGAGGATGCAGTCTGAGTTTTCCCATTGTCTTCCTGCTAGACATATAAACGCTCGAATTATATTTATTATCGCCAACAAAATTGCATTTGAATTCGTGATCTGCCTGCTGTACGCTTTCCAGCACTGCCGCAAACAGCTGCTGCCGGCTGTAGCGTCGTCCTTGTCTAACGATTTTCTCAAATTGCCCAAACTGTCCAGCCATCGATGAGACCATTGGCGCGAAACAACCTGCTCAAATCTGTTTTACACGCTCCGTCGATGAGTCGCGTCATGGGATGCAATGTCAGCAGCGATACATGGCCGCAGGAGCAGCCGCACATGCCCAGCAGCGCTACTGGCATGGGACTGCTGTACCAGTGCCGCCAGCTGGAGAAGCCTCGGGTGCCGGTGAATCTGGAGAAATTTGTCGCCCTGTCCGATAGCTTTCCCGTTAAGGTAAGCCGAGTCTTTCCAGCAGCTCCAACTCCGGGCCGGGCTTAGCTCTCAATCTCAATCTGCAGTTTGGGGTCGACACCTGCCGTGTCAGGGAGCAGCCGGTGGGCCGCTTCGCGAACATCCTGGAGCAGGTGGCCTCCGCCTATCCCGTTATACACGAGCGCACCCTGCTGCTATACATCAGCTTTCTGGAGCACAAGCTGAAGTTCGGCAACAGCCGGGAGAGGGCCGTATACCAGGGCATGTCCCTGGTTGAATTTGTCCAGCGTTTGCTGAGCAAACGATGCGTGTGTTTCTTCGGCGGCGGGGACTACTACCGCCTGCTGAACGGCAGCGTTGGGTACGAGGGCTTCGAGTCGGTGGGCACTGCGCTGGAGGTGCCACCGCTGCTGCTGGCCGATGTGCTCAGCTACGACGAGATCAAGCTGGCGGCCCTCCTCTATGTGTCCACGCACTCGGAGTTCATCAACAACGGACGACGCTCGAATGCCGGCGAGGTGACGCAGAACAAGGCAAGCATCGAGAGGGAGGGCGTCATCATGGGCCTGATCGGCGCCCGCTTCGAGCGACCCAATGTGATGGAGTACCAGGACATAATCATCTCGCCCACACAGAACATCGAGGCCAATGGCTATGGCTTCCACACCAGCGAGACAGCCACCCGCGCCTCCGACTACCGGCGGCTGTGGTGCGAATTTTACGATGAGCCCAGGGACTTTAAGTACACGGAGGCCGCTGTCGATGGCGATCGCTTCTTACGTGCGGGCCCCGGCGGCCTCATCTTCGATAATTTGTTCATGAAGAAGCGCTTCGCCATCAGCTTTGACACCCTGCTGCTGGAGGCCGAAGCCCGTGGCGTGGCGGCGGGCAAGCCCGCCTACATCCACGTCGTGGGCATCGGTCTGGGCGTGTGGAAGATCATCGAGAAGCAGGAGGAGCTCTTTCTGGAGGCCTTTGAGGAGCGGCTGCTGGCCCTGGGCGAGCGTCTCAGCCACATCGGCGTGGTGCACTTCTCCTGGTTCCATCTGAAGCGAGTGCGCAGCCTGCACGACGGCGCCACCATGCCGCTGACGGGCATCCGCATACGCATCTCCAGCCGCAATCCGGCCGACAAGCTGGACGAGGATATGCTGCCGGTGGTGACCTATGCCTGGAATGGCAATGCCCTGCCCGGCAATGACTTTTGGGATGTAAGTGACTTCTCCCGCTCACAATTGAAGCCCTCCCCACTCTCATTGACTGATTTTGCAGGGTGCTTTGCTCAGCACTAGCGATCCGGCGGCTGCCTGTTCCACACTCATCGCGGAGCTGCAGAATCCCCACATCAATGTGGACTACATGAGCGGCCAAAATCTGCACATTGCCTCGATTGAGCACGGCCTGCTGCACATTGGGGAGTACGCCCTGCGCGTGACCGGCACTACGGATGTATAGAGCGCGGATATACATATACTCCCCCCAAATATTACATCTCACGTCCACACTCTGCCAATTTTTTTTTTGCATTTTTGTATTTTTATATTAAATTTAATAAAATTTAGAAATCACTTCAAAAATTGGAACCATTGTAGCCACAGATCCTAAGCCCAAAGATCTCTTTTATGGCAAAGTTAAAGCAGGACGGGTATTGATGCCCATTGTTGCCATGAAAATTTTAATTATTGTTGGCCGATTTTGATCCAATTTAAAAAAAATAATGAAACATAAAGACACAAATTGTTGGGTTCCGTTTATCCTATACTTAACCAGATATATGTATCTAGATTCAAACGTTTCGTTGATTCAGGCATCCACATAACAATTATTAAGATAAGAAAATATCAAAATTGATACTTTTATTATCGTTTATTTATACAGAAGGGACCTCCCCAGAACTCAAGCCATACGCATGAAAAATGATCCTTAGTCATCATATCGTGGACATGCAAAATAGGGGACATGGGTATAGGGGGGACATCTGTAACATGATCTTTCATGGGAATAATTTATGTGAAGCTTTTGGGGACAGGCAGTTTATCTAAAAAAAAGTCTAAAACAGAAATCTGTATGTTTATTTTTTCGTTAAACTAAACAAACGTCAGAGTCCAGAATTCCCTAGTGCTGGTCCCATAAATATGCTTGTCTAGGCAATACAAATGCAAGGGCTAAAGAACGTAGTGGTTGGGTCCCCCGTTGCGGGTTCTACTTATTCTTAAATAAGTTCTTTGTACCCAGGATCTGTTCTGCTGCTTCTGAAGTCCATGCAACGTCCTTAACTGTTGTCTGTAAAGGAAAGATCAAAGCTTAAAGATAAACTTATAAACATTAAGTGGGTGCCCCCCACTCTCATGGATATCAATTGTCTGGGCGCCAAGCAATACGAATAATCTGTGGGGAAAATGTAAACATTAAATGCGAATGCGAATGATCTACAATAAACAGGGAACCTCTTCGCTGAGAATCAAGCTGAAACATGATATTTCGACTGAATAAAGGAAGATTTTTGGTCGGGCAGGAAGGGGACACATTCATTCATTTAATCTAGAAAAAAAAAAACTATGACATACGAATAATATTATTTGAGGGTCTTTCCATCGAAAGTTGCCAACGCTGAAATTTTGTTTGTTTTTTTTTTGTTTGCTTATCGTGCATTAAGCTGAGACAAAATATTACCATTTCTTATGTACCGAGGGGGGGGCACTTGAATTAACCCACATACAAGTACAAACATACATACATTATATATATATGTAGTCATCAAAGGGCCCGCATTTGTGCGAGTATTTTGTGAATGAAGAATGAAACAAAATTATTCGTTTTTTGTGTGTTTCGCGTTTAACCATTATTGATTCCGTTTATTGAAATTGAATAGAATTATTGGCTGTCAAACGACAGAAATATATATTATGATATTATTGTATGGTATTTTTTTGTATATAGATAGCAACAAGTAACACAAAAATTCCCCATTCCCAGTCCGTCATCCCAGTCCGTTATTCCGTCCGTTGTTCTGTTTATCGTCATTTGCTCTATGCCTATGATAACTCGCATATTTTTTGGGAGTTCGTGCGCATACAATGAATGCAATTCCGAATTACTGCTCCCCGATAATTCTCTTACGATTTTGTAACATTTTTGTCATCTTTGTGTTGTGTGTGTGTGTGTGTTTGGCATTCTGTCATATTTCATTTAAATATTAAAAATTATCATTTAAGAATGTGTGTGTGTGTGTGTGTATATGTGTTTCTATATTAATATATAATATATATATTTATGCTAGTCAACTTATTAAATATAAATCGCTTGTCTTTATGTGTATACATCGGAAACATCATATATTGAAAACAATGATATAACATTCACAACAATTTATGTTTTTTGTTTTGTTTTAACTATATTATAATTATATATATATTAATGGGTTTGCTCCATACTATCAACAATACACTCACGGTACTCCCCCCAACAACAACAACATAATAATCATTTAGAGGAGAGCAGCTATAAAAAGTACCCCGCTATCCCCATATAGCTCGCTCTCTCTCTCGCTCTCCTTTTCCTTTTCTTTCATTTCTTTGAGTTTTGTAGCACAAAAATTATATGTACAAATGCGGGGGGTTGGAGGGTATATATATATAATATATATATCTTATATATCGTTAACGTTATTTGTATGTATATCTTTTAGTATTTTTTTTCATTTCTTTAGGTAATTAGTGCGAGAAACAGTACGTTACGGTATTAAAATCGAATAAACGAGCACACAACAATTTTGCATACTATATTAAATATGCCTCACAAATATGTATGTATGTATGATAAGGTATGCTTTAGTCAAAAGGTATAAGTAGGTAGGTATCGTTAACATTATATGTAGAATATATGTTAGTACATATATTTTTTTAGGGGGAGGGACAGGTATATAATAATGTTTCTTGTAAATGTGGAAAAAATGGCATAAATTGTGATGCTTAAGTAACGGTTTCATTAATATTATAGTTACTATATGGAAGGGGGATGCCGAGGTTAGTTTAGGTTTATGGCAAACAGCACTAAAAGTTGACATGGCAAACAATTGTAAAATGAGGATCCGTGTGCTTCAAACAAAACAATCAATAAAAAAAACTAATTATACATTAATTTATAATATATGTAGTTTTTTTTCCTATATATATATATATATTTAATTATTTAACAGCGATAACAAGAAAAATCACTTGTCTTTCCAATTTGTTTTTATTGTACGTGGTACGTGTGGTACGTCATTCTTTGGAGGATGTTTGAGGCTGGGGCGGTGTATGGTGGTTCGGCGGGGGACGACCCAGCGCCAGCGCTAGCGCCAAAACCCCTCCTATACCGTATATATTCTATTCATCGTAATCGGCTATCATGAGACCGCGCTTGCCAAAGGCCCCCATGCCCATGCCCATGCTCATGCCCATGCCATGGTGTGGCCCATCTATGCCATCGAACAGGTCACTGGTAGCCGAGCTATTCAACGAATTCAGTGTCACATTAAACGATCCACCGCCGTTGCTGTGGAAGCGCTCCTGCAGCTCCTGCTGTCGCTTCAAGCTGTTCAGCTCATCCCGCAGCGTCTTATTGGTCACACGCAGCTTGTCCGCCTCACGCAGGCCCTCGCGTAAGCTGTATATACAAATATATATGTATCTCTCTCACTCTCACAATCACACTCTCTATTGCTCTGTACTCACTTGTCTATCTCGCCCTGCATGCTCTTGATGTACTCACAGGCCTTGATCAATATCTGCGACTTGGAGTCGTTGGGCGGCGTCCGTCCATTGGCGCTCTGGTTGACTCTCAGGCCGGGACTGGTGCTGGCCTCGCTGGTGCTCGAACTGAGGCTTATGCTCACCGGCTCCATTTGCCCATTGCTTGGTGGCGGTGGCCGGTAGCGGCTGCCCTCGATGGGCAGCATCTCCTTCAGCTTGAAGATCCAGCAATTGATTTTGTCGCGACGTCTACGCTCCACCTCATTGTGCGTGGCACGACGCTTGTCGTCCCGCTTCTTGTACGCATCCAATTTGGAGGTGGCAGTGCCAGACATCGTTGTACCAACCGCACTGGCCGTGCTACCAGCACCCCCTGCTCCACCTCCTCCTCCTCCTCCACCCACATGCTCCTCGATTAGTTTTAGAGCACGCATTGTGTTTGTAGTTGTGGCGGCTGTTGTGGGTGCGGCGGCGGCGGCGGCGGCCACTTTGGCTATCGTTGCCGCCACAGCTGGTTTTGGTGTGCCTGATGCTCTCTCTGGCGTTGCAGTCGCATTTGTGGAGGGCTTCCCGTCACTGGCGCCATTACTCACGTAGAGGATGTTCGTGGACGATGTGCAGAGCTTATTTACAGTGAGACCACAGCGGTCGCTCATCGAATCCGGCTCCAGTTTGATGGTTGCCTTTGGTGGAATGGTCTGGGCTTGAATGTGGGTCGTCTGGGTCTGTGTATGGGTATGGGTATGTCCATTGAGCTGCATGGGCGAACTGATGGTGGTGTCCTTCACCAGATATATCTCACAGCCAGTGGGCAGCTGTAGGTTGCTTGGCAGCAGCGAGTTCAAATCCATATCGGGCTCCTGCTTGATGGCATAATACTCCTGCGACTCATCCGAGTTCTCGTCACCGCAGATGGTCAATAGGATCTGGGCACCGCCACTGCCATTGCCGGTGCTGGTCAGGAACAGGCTCTGGCCGTTGCCAAACGAACTGGCCAACAAAGCATCGGATAAGTCACTTGCAGTCGTTGCTGTTGTTGTTGTTGTTGTTGTGGTCGTTGGAGCGGCAGTTGCTTTTGGTGCACCTGCTCCTCCTCCTGTTGTGGCATCAATGTCCAGCCCCAGGTCCAGGCGTTGACGTTTCTTGGCGTTCATAGCGTCAACGGACGTTCGACTGTTGTCATCTGGCAGGCAACGAAATCTGCTTTTGTTACTCGGTTTTCGTATACTTTCTCCAGCGCCCAGCTCACGTAACTCTAATCGGGTTGGGAATCGGATCGAATGGGATCGGTCCAATTGGAGTTTGTGGCTCCCCAGGCCCGAGTCGCGCTGGCACTTGGCCTGGCACTCTTCTGCGCTGCGAATGCAGCAATGCTTGTTGCTGTATGCCCGCCTTGATTTTGGATATTAACTGCCGCGGTGATGTTTGGCCACCAGGTTCTTCGCGATTAGAGGGCTCAACGGCGACTTTTGACGCATTTGCGTTGCCATTTAACAACACGAATTGTTAACAACAACGATTGTTTGGGCTTCATTACGTTAATTGATATATCAACATATCGATAAATAGTGTTTGTGATGATATATTTCCATGTGATAGTCTTTTGCACTGAGCGATAATATTAGTATGAATACCACTATCGCAAAAAAGCTGCTAAAAATATCAGTATTTTTCTGCGATAAAAATGTCCCCATTTTGAAAATAAGAATTAAAGACCACAATCCGAATTTTTTAATTTTTTAAGCTATTCTTGTTTCTGTGATTCTGTGGTTGCAGGTTGGTTTTTCACAAACGTTTTAAGTGAGCTTTTCTAAGCTTCGATAACTTACTTTTTCACTGAAACGATATATCATCCAACAGAAACCATCGATCATCTTCTGTCTAAAATATTTTTGATGGTTTTGCAGCCCTAAGTATATTGTCAACAATAGCCAAAGTCAAGATGAGACCTGCTTTAACGGTGGTAAATGCAACGAGCAAACAAACTGCATCCGTTATATTTTTCCATGGCTCCGGCGACACTGGTCCGAATGTATTGGAATGGGTGCGCTTTCTACTGGGACGGAATTTGGAATACGGCCACATAAAAGTCATTTATCCAACAGCACCAGTGCAAAAGTACACGCCGTTGAACGGCCAAGAGTCCAATGTGTGGTTCGATCGACGCTCGGTAAACATTGCGGCACAGGAAAGCAAAAAGAGCATGTCACAATGTTACGAAAGCGTTAATCAGCTTATCGAAGACGAGGTCTCGAACGGCATACCGGCCAGCCGCATCATTGTGGGCGGCTTCTCAATGGGCGGCGCGTTGGCCTTGCACACGGGCTACCATTTGAATGCTGGACTAGCGGGTGTCTTCGCGCACTCTGCCTTTCTCAACCGTAACTCCATCGTCTATGAATCGCTGCAGTCGAGCTCCGAGCAGAAGGAGCAGCTTCCAGAGCTCCGAATGTTTCATGGAGAGCGCGACACCTTGGTACCGATCGAGTGGGGCGTTGAGACTTTTAAAGCTCTTCAAAGTTTAGGTGTCAACGGTACATTCCAGCCATTGAAGAATACACTGCATGAACTGAAAAAATCGTCGCTTGTTGATCTACAGGAATGGATTCTAGAAAAGCTACCTCCGCTTGAAAACAATGTACAAAATAAACTGTGAGCGGTAAGTCTGGACATTTAAGAATAACATTATATAAACATACTTAAAAAGCTGAGTTTTTGTCTGATCTATATTATTGCAGTATATGGCATAACACCAGCACAACTATCAGCGGCGCAGAGACAAGGCTTGCTATCACTTGCTTGATCTTCTACGTGATGATCTTCTCCGCCGTAATGAAAACTCAGTTCTTCCTGGGCAAGAATGTTGCGTGCTGCGAAAATACCTTTAAAAATGTACATAAAATTCTCCGGTAATATGAAAACAAAACAAAAACGTTAATAAAACTCACATATTTTTGGTATGGGACAGTCTATTCGCACCGCCGCTATCTGACAATTGGGCTCACAGCTGTGGTTAATGTAGCGTCCAATATTTCCACGTTGAGAAGGATCTACGATGGTGACTTGTCGCTTCTCCTCACGGCAGTCATCGGTCTCAGTGTATTCGTTAAGTACTAAGACATAATTCATTAATCCCAGTTTCTCATTGATAGCTAGACGTCGTTTGGCTTCAGAAATAGTTAGAATTTCACCAGCATATTCGCAGATGAAGGCACCACAAGGAATGTTTACTTTCGTGCGCACCCCCTTGGATTTGTACGTAGTCGAATTAAATACTTCCAAATTGGCTCGTGGACCATGCTGCACAAGTCGATTAGTGCAAAAGTCTGGACGACAGTCACAGAAAGCATTGCACTCCATAATAGGGATGCTGCCTTTTTCCTTAGTTTGCCTTTGAACTAATTCTTTTCCATCAGGACAGTACCTATAAGCACCTCCGTGTGAGCATCTTTCGTTGCTTGAGCAACTGCCTTCGCATTGACATTGCTGTAAAATCACAGAGTTGTACTCGTTCTTTAACTGAATGAAATCTAAGCTGTCCTCGCTGGGCATCAGAACAGATTCTAAAATATATTCTAGATTATCTGGGTGTTCATAGTCGTCATTCACTGCTATTCGAGATTGTGCCATTGAAATAATGCGATCCTATATTTTCCTAAAACATTTGTTTTCTAGTCGAATTTGTTTGAAAAATTGTTTAGAAAGAACAGCTGGAGACTAGGGCTGCATAACCATAGATGGAACAAGTGGCAATATCGATGACGCGCCACAGACTAGGCCTGCGCGCCAACTTCCATTGCAAATTCGAAGCACAAATATTTTTAAAATCAATTCAATTTAGATATTCTGGCATGCTCTGGTTTCCACCGCATATTCAGGCTTTTCTCGTGCAAATCGGCGCTATTTTCTGTTGTTTCACGGCGTCAGACTGCGAATTTCGTTTCAACATATCAATTCAAACTATCGGTATTTTTGTGCGATAAGTGGAACGAATTCAGCAGTTGCAAGGTGTGTCACCTAGAGAGGGAACAAAATCAAACGAATTCAAAATTTATTTGGAAAATAACGCAACAACTATTTTAAACAGACAATCTCAATGAAAATTTGAATTAAATTATCGAATAAAATTATTTGTTTATTAACAATCGCAATTGAAAAGCTTTTAAAACAGACGCAAACTGAAAAGTGCTTGCTGGGCCAACACTTATGTTCGTCACTGTTTCTATATATCGATATACACCAATATATATATATATATATTTAATAATTATCCAGACAACTGGTGGAGATCTACCACAAAGCAGCCCACACCCAGATTTGTTACCTGAAACCCGGCATATCCTCGATGGCCAACGGTAATAATAAGGGGACTGAAGCTGCTTCTGGACACGGACACGGTGCCAGTGCTGGTGCCGGTCCCAGGCCTGGAGCCGGCTCGGGCATTGGCGGCTCCTCCAAGCTGTCCCTTTGCCTGATACACTTCGTCCTGGCCATTAGCTCGGGACTGGGACTAAAGCACAGCATTGGCCGCTATGCCCAGGCCGCCTTTGGCATTTTCTTCGGCCACAGCCTGCTGTGTCTGCTGCGGCACACACATCCCAATCCGGGAACAGTGCAACGCCAAATCTGCGACAAATCGCGCCGCTACGCCTCGGTGCTCTTCATCACCCTCATCATTGGCGAGCTGCAGCAACTGAACAGGCAGCTGCAGTTGGGCACGATTGCCGGCGCCGACTGGCAGTGGATCTCCCTGATGCTGTGGTCCACCACCCTGACGCTGGCCATCAGCAATCAGTGCCTGGGCGGCCGTAGCGCCTTGGGAGCGAAGATCGTTCAGCTGGATGCCGCCAATCAGGGCCTGTGTGTCGTCTGGAACATCTACTGTCTGTGGCACATTGCGATTGTCGATGAGTTCTGGTGGTCGCTCGGTCTGGCCCTGCTCGTGCTCATGAATCACTTTGTTCTGTGGCGCCTGCCGCTGCAGTTCAACATCACCCAAATGGAGGTCGGCACGGTGGGCATGTGCTTCTCCGTCATCTTTGCCATCAATGCCATTCAGGAGCAATTGGATGCCAGCTGAGGGCCGGTGCTCTTGCCCTTGTATACCACCCCCCCTGATGGTGGTGGTGCCGGAGGCTCATTTAAGGTTTCCGATTGATTAGGATTTGTATGCGTTTTATAGTCAAAATAAATCATAAAATGATTGAAAAAAATCTTCTTTCTTTTAGCATTCCATATACCTGTGGCAAGATATCTTTCATGGACTTTTTGGAACATTTTCATGGAGATCTGTAAAGGCATTTTGGATTGAGCTGCTTGGCATAGGATTGGTGTGTGTGTGTGCTTTGAGGTTTATGTTTACGCTTCCCATTCCATAGATCTAGATTCTAGAGAAACGAAGAGGCTCTTGGTGGCATGTTTTCCGCAGATTCCAGGCAGTTAAACTAAACTTAAAACGTCAAGAATGAATATAGATTACATATATTAATATTAATTAAGGCAAAAGCCATGTCTTGGTATATGTAAGTGACCAGAATCTGGCAGGGCAGCTCATCGTTAGCCCCTGCATTCGTTCCCGATGATTGCCAAGGGCAGCTTTGAGCTCCCCCATTCGTGCTAGCACATCCTGTTTGTGGGCAAGGCGATGTAGTACGATGAATGCTTTAAACAGCTTTGACAGCCTTTCAAAAAGAATGCAACTCGATGCTCATAATCTTGTAGTCATAAGGACACCCCACTGGGCTTGGGATTATACCATTAGGTCCTTCATTTAGTCCTATATCTGTAGAGACGATAACAACACATTCTACCATTACAAAAGGTAGAAAACCAGCGCCTTTTTCTGTACAGAATTCAAAATATGGCACAGAAGTTGTTAAATGATTTACATAGAATAATATTTCAAGCCCTTATTGCCAGCTCCTTCCACAGCTTGTAGACCCCGCAAAAAGACGGCACTGAAAACAGTTCCTTCCTCTGGCTGGGACTATCCTCTTAATATTGGTTTTAGTACACTTTTTTCTTTATTGGTAATTGTAAATCTATTTAAATTTATATCTATATATGTGGTTTGTGGGGCCTTGGAGCTACTCTGTCTGGATCACTCTAATTCTCCTTGTCTGTGTGCCTATATCTATGTATATGTATATATATATATATCTGTATCTTTATCGGAATAAATATTAAGAAAAAGGAAACAGGTTGGGTTGGGGTCGAACACAATTAACGCAACAGAGAGAGGGGTGGGTTGGGGCGGGGGGGGACACGAACTGGAGGACATCTTACAACGTAACTAAATCCAAGAGATTAAGGAAAAAAATATTACATGGAGAAAAAAATCGAATAAATCATAATTCATATTTTCTAATAGAAAAAAAAAAAAAGCGTGAATAATCCGAAATGAATATATGATACGTGTCTGGGTTGTCTCTGCCTAGGCATGGGTGTTGTCATCCTCCACAAAGTCCTTGGCCTGCTCGCGGGTCACACAATCGATGTGGCTGACCTTATTGCGGAATCGAACGCCATAGAATTTGTGCGCATTCTCGAGCAACTCCGGGCGGAACGTGGTCGTAATGAACTGTGCCGTGTCGCTCAGCTCATGGATCATGTCCGCCACCGCCTTTCGATGCATGGCATCCAAGGCCTAAAAATAAATCACACAAATCCGAAATTAATTATTCGTGGTGCTATAGAAAAAAAATCTCTCTCACCTGATCAATCTCATCGAACAGATAGAACGGAGCTGGATCGCATTTTTGTATGGAAAATATAAGGGCCAGGGCGACCAGAGATTTTTGGCCACCTGACAATTGATTCATTTCGCGCATCTCCGCCTCAACGCCGGTGAAGGAGACACGTATACCGATGCCCGTGAAGGCATCCGAATTGGCCACCTCCTTTTCCATTTCCTCGCCCTCGTTGTCCTTTGTCTTCAGTATCAGATAGCCGGCGCCCATGGGCACCAGCTTCTTAAAGACCTTCGTGAAGTTCTGTGCCACCTGGCGGAAGGTAAACTGTATGGCCTCGACCTTTTGCATCTCCAGCGACTGGATGAGCATGTGGATCTTTTGATCGCCAACGTCCAGCTCCTCCTTGCGGCGATACAGCTTCTCCTTCTGCTCGGAGAAGCTGAGGAACTGATCGAGCGCCTTCTTGTTCACATGATTGTACTTCTTCAGATGCTGATTGGCCTTCTCCAGCTCCTTGAAGATGTTTTTCAGCGAAATGCGACTGTAGTCGGCGTCCACCAATGGAAGGGCGCCCAGGCTGGCTATCTTCTCGGTGCACTCGTCGATCTTCTGATTGAGCATGTTCTCCTTGGTGGTCCACTTCTCCAGCTGCTTGGAGTCCTTGTTGATGTTCTCCTCGGCCTCCTTCTCCTTGCGCACATGCGTCTCCAGCTCCAGCTGGAGTTCCTTCTGCATCTGCACGGCCTCGTTCACCCGCTTCTCGATCTCCTCCAGATCGGCATTCACCTTCTTGATGCGCTTCTCCGCCGACACCAGCTCCGTGGTGCAGTTGTTCAGCTTGCGCTTGCGATCCTCCACAGAGATTTCCTGCAGCGCCTGAATCAGTTCGTCCCGTCGCCGGAACAGATTGTTGATCAGCAGATTGTCCAGCTTATTCTTGCGCACCTCGAACTGCATGCGCTGGGTGAAGGCCTCCTTGTTCTCTTGATTGAGACGACGAATGTCATCGTTTAGCTGATCGATCTCACGCTGATCCTGCGAGGAGAGCGTCGACTGCAGCTCCTGCTTGAGCTCCGCCTCGAGACTGATCTTGGTGCTGTCCATTGACTCCAGCGAGGCCTTGCACTGTGCCAGGGAGCGCTCCTTGGGCGCCCGATACTGCTCGATGCGCACCAGCTCCTCCTTCATCAGCCGTATCTCGCCCTGGACCTTCTCGAACACATCCTTCGACTTGCCCTGCTTCGTCTCCGTCTTCTGCATCTCGGACACAATCGAATTGATATTGTTCTCCGTGGACTTGAGCTCGTTCCGCAGCTTGCTCAGCTTCTTCTCGAACTCGGCTATCTGCTGCGAGTATTCGGTGCGCTTCTTCTGCATCTCCAGACGGGAGCGTGAGGTGTTAAAGTAGCCGCCGGTGAGCGAGCCCTTCGACGACACCTGATCCCCATCGAGGGTCACACAGTCCAGGCCCGTGCTCTTGGCCAGCTCGGTGGCCCGCTCCAGGTTGCGGCAGATCAATGTCTTGCCAAAGATATACCGCAGCGCCTTGTCGTGCTGTTCGTCGTACTTGAGCTTCGATATCATTGGTATGGAATCGGGATCGTCCGGATAGTCGTGGATCTTCACCTGCAGCCGATTCAGGGGCATGAACGTCACCTCGCCGGGCAGCTTCAGTTTGTTCATCTCCTTGAGGATCTGTGTGCCCTCGTATTCGGACTCCACAATGTGATGGAACAGCCGATTGGCGGCGGTCACCTCCACGGCCGTGTAGATGGTCTTGTCGCAGCTAAAATTCTCAATCACGGGCCCGTAATAGGCGCGCGCTATCTCTGCCGACTGACCGCCGCGCTCCACAAAGCTGTCGAGCACCTTGCGCACCGAATCGCAGCCATTGAGGATCGGTTTGCCGGCCATGCTGCGCAGCGCCTGATCGGCGCGGGAGAGCTCCTCCTTTTGGGTCTGCAGCTGTTGGGTCATTTGTGTTTCCTTGCGCCACAGCTCGTTGCGCATCGACTGATGCTGGTCCTTGGTCTTCTTCAGCTCGTAGTACTTTTTGTTGTGCTCATCGATCTGGAGGCGGAGCTGCTCCAGCTCCGACGAATGCTCCTCGATCTTCTGCCCCAGATCCTTCTCGGAGGTGGCATCCTTGCGCAGATCCTCGACCAGCTTTGAATGGTGATTGATCTTGTCCTTGGTCTGCTTGCTAATCGACTTCAGCTCGTTGTGGATCCACTTGTCGCGATCCTCGCGCGACGAGAACTGCGACCCGCGGCCCTGCTTCGCGTAAAGCTCCTTGCGCTTCTGCTCCTTCAGCTGCAGCTCGCGGGAACAGTCGTCCTCCTTGCGTTTCATGGCCTCATACTTGGGCTTCACGTCGTCCAGCTCCTTTTCGCGCTCGGCTATCGTCACCTTGAGGTTCTTCAGCTCCTGATCGGCCCGCTCCTTGGACTTGTTGTCGCCCTGCACTTCGTCGTTCAGGTCCACGATGGTCAGATCCAATTTGGTTTTCTCGCGCAGCAGCTGCTGCTGTTCGGTCATCAGGACGGAGCGCTCCTCCTTGGTGCTCTGCACCTTCTTTTTGGCCTCCTTCAGGTTCTTTTGCACATCCTTGATCTTCTCCTGCGCCTTCTGGATCTCAATGTTGTAGGTTTTCTTCTTGTCGGAGGAGGATTTTCGCTGCGTGAGCAGCTCGCTCAGCGCCTTCCTGGTGTCCTTTAGCTCCGTTTCGTAGCGTATGTACTCGAGGGTGCGGCGTGTCTTGTCCCACTTCTGGTACTCCTTCAGCTCTTCCTTCTCCTCTTCGAGCGTCTGCAGCCGGTCCTCGATGGTCTTCAGATACTCGGAGATTTTCTCCACCTTGCTGTCGGTCTCCCGCAGCAGATTCAGCGACTCCTCCTTGCGCTCGTCGTACACACGCGTGCCGGCCACCTCGCGCAACAGCTTCAAACGATAGGAGTCGGCTGCCGTGGCCATTTGATTGATCTTGCCCTGCTTCACAATGTAGTACGGATTGGAGCTGGAGAAGCCGGCCGATTCCAGCAGATTGACCACCTCATTGCGCGGCACCACCTTCTTGTTGAGGAAATACTGATCCTTCTTGGCCCCAATCACGCGTCGCAGGAAGATCTCCTCCTTGTCAATCTACACACACGCGCACACACACACAAACACATGGGGGGAAAATCTCACGTTAATTGCATGAATATTGACAATGAATTATCAAATGGGATTTACCGGCACTCGGTTGTCCGTGTTGTCAAAGATGATCTCCACATAGGCGGAGATTACGCGCGCCCCAGTGCCCTCGTGGAGCAGCGACTGGCGCTGCTCGGGCCGCAAATGTGTGAATTCATCGCTCAAAACAAACTGAATGGCTGGGAAATGGGAAAAACACAATCACAATCACAAATCAGTAATCATCATATGATAAGGTCTGTCCTTATGCCTCACCATAGAAGAAGTTACTCTTGCCGGAGCCATTGCGTCCGACCACAACGTTGTGACGCTTGTCGAATGGTTCCACCACCGTCTGGTCCTTGTAACTTTTAAAGCCTTGTATAATAATCTGCAATTGTATCGGAATTCGTTGTAGCCAGTGTGTGGGCGGGTGCGGCACTGTTTACCCACCTGCTTGATGTGCATTTTATTATTGTAGACAACGATTTTTGCACAAAATCGCGCTCTTTTTGTTTACAACAAATACATATAAATAATGCCTAGCGCTTGTAAATACTATCGATATACCATCGATAGTTGTGACGCCCGTGCCGTGCTGGTGGTGGTTGGGTGCCAGCTGGGTGTTGAGTATCGATAGCGCTGCTGAGGGATGACAAAATGGAAAATAAAAATGGCCACACTTCTGATAAATTTAAAACATTGTAGCCGCAGAAACTAAACAACTAAAGAAAGAAAGAAATCATAGCAATATGATTTAAAGTATCAATCAAATGTCTTCAACTGCAAGCAACACGGCACATAGTGTTGGAGGTAGCATGGTGGCCATGCAAGGCATGGACTGTGTGGCCATTGCTACGGATCATGCGGCTGACAATAATTTGTTCAGAGTAAGTCGCCGTTTGTTTTGTGGGTTCGAAGGTTTGTGACATACGACATTCTTTTGGATGACTAAATGCCCATTTGATTCCATACAGGGCCCAAGAATGATATTATAGCCGTGTGCATGAACATCCGCCAGAAGTTGCGATTACAGGTGATAACGCCAGACATATATATCAAGAATCTGTCCAACATATTGTACGAACAACGCCCGAAACCCTATCAAGTGGACTGCATTGTGCTTGGCCTCCAGCCCGGTACAATGAGGCCGTTCATTTCCACGCTGGATATGCTTGGAGTCCCAAATGAACTGGACGACTTCGTTGCAATTGGAAAGCGCAGCCCGCAGCTTCATGCTACGTGCGAGGCTCTGTGGAAACCAAAGATGGAACCTGCGGATCTGTTGCAGACTATTTCGTCATCCATTTTGGCGGATACCGACCCCAAAGTAACCATTGGTGCCCTTGTCTATGTTGTTGAAAGAGGCAGGATAACAGAGTCCACAGTGGAGATTGAAGAGGACTAGGCAACTTAATATAATTCTGTGTGACATATTGTTTAGGAAATCAAAAAAAAAAATCACGCAAAATAAAATGCGCTCAAACTGCACACAAACACACACACATGCAACAATAGCCCAAGCAAAAGTATTTTCCAGCCTGCGTTGACAGAAATGAACAAAAAAACATACACAAACAGTGCATAATTTATTATAATATAATCTCAATAATCTTAATTTCGATGTACATATTTTGTTGCTTTTAATCTGTAAATATTGTTGGATTTTTAGTATTAGGTACCCAGGTTACATACAAAATAAAGTACAACTTTCCTTATTTTAGTTATTCACTGAAAAAATTCCCGATCAGTGCTGAGCAGTGTCCGATAGTACATAGTTGAAACTGTGGACCACGAAAAAGTCGCACTCGCATATATCGATATTACCGATATAACCTAAGGACTCGCTTACACTTTTTGCATAAAATTTGACCGCCAATGTCCATTTCTTCCGCGTCTCCAATCGGAAGAAATTCCCGTAGATCACCTTGGGTGGTTAGGGGGGTACATTTGATTTGTATGGGAAAAAATTCAGCATGGGAAATGAATTAGCAGCATTGTTCTTCAACCTTGGATCGGAATGAGCAACAATCTGCATACCTTGGGAAAATGGATATTATAGAACATAGATATTGTTGGTAATTTCGGGCGCCAATTAATGCAGAAACTACTCAGTCTCTGTTTTAAAGTTATTAACGAAATTTTGCAGCTCACGGATTCCAATACCGGAATAAATGTATATATAAAACACAAACATGTGCATTAATAGGTAAAAAAAACATGTCAATCTAGGATAAATCATAAATAATGTTTTAATGGAGCTTGGAACAAAACACTTAACACCAATTAAAAGAATTAAAGTATACAAAATTACATTCGCATAGAAGAAACTTTGTTGACCAGCAACACTGACGTCACATTTAGTCAACATTTATGTTTTATGCTTTGGCCGTTTTTGTTTGAACCCTATTATCTAAGCAATCCCATAAAAAATAGGTTTGAAAACTAGCCAATCCTAAACAAAATTCATTGAGGAATTGGATATAACAATTTGTTAACGGCTAAAAGGGCCAACTATCTAGTAATATTAAACTGAATATCAAAATTGACGAATTTCATATCACAAAATATCATGGTATGGCAGCCCGCAGCAATTACGAATTGCACGAGTCTGGCAGCGCCACAAAAACGACGTCACATTAGTTTTATGTTGTTTTTGTTTGAACCTTAATATGTAAACAATCCAATGAAAAGGAGTTCTGAAAACTAGCCAATCTTGTACAAACTTGATTGAGGAATTGGATAAAATTATTGGTTTATGGCTGAGAGGGCCAACTAGCTGGTAATATTAAACGGAATGTCAAAATCGAGGAATATCAACTATCAAAACTATCGCAAAACCATCGATAGTAGAGGCTAGCTGTAAAATATCGATACTATCGATAGAGCCCTCGATGGTTTGACATCGTGCGCTTAATATTTAATAGTTAATTACTACAGCTAGGCTTTTGCATTTGCTGCATTTGGCGCTGCGCGTTTGTTTACGGCTGTCTGTTCCATATCGTGCGTGCGAGCAGCATCAGCATTTTGTGTGCATTATTACTCTGCAACAGCGCTCTGTTCCTGCATCGTCTGCAGACCGTTTGAGTGAAACCGAAAGTAGAATATATTGAGATATACAAAGAATTAAGAGGTAAATTTGCCAAGCAGATTGGTTTCATTGTTTTTTTTTGTCGTGTTATACTGTTTTTTTCCCCAAAAATAAATTGTGCAATACGCACACACACTCTGAAAGGGGGGAGAGTGGCTTGTTGAAGGTGTCACTCAAAAAGGAGAGAAGTGGAGCAAAGTAAAGAAAAGCCGGAGCGCGGAGTTGAGTAGCTTCAAAAAAAGCTAGCAAACAAACACCAATTGGAATCGCACACAAACACACATGTGTGTGTGTGTATATATGAATAAATATGCATACATACTGTTGTAGCATGTAAATAAGAACGACCTACCTAAGCCTCCAAGTCATGCTGCAAGTGTATGGAAATGTAGTTTTTTTTTCGTTATTGTTCACAAAAAAAAAATGTTCCAATTTGAATAGTTTGGACACTGATTAATGGATTTCTGGTTCCGCGAGTGCAACGAAACGGTAAAAAAGAACATTATAAATACATACATGACATGTACATAGCGTATTCGATTGTGAGTGTGTGGGCGAGTGTGTGCATACCTGCGTGTGTACATTCCGCTATGTACATTTTTTCATACTTATTAGTCATCTTTGGACCTCTCCCCCAACCCCTCCCCCGATCTTGATATTTTTTTATGTGTGCCCCAAAACAATGCGAAAATCAAGTGCCAAAAAGGCGGCTGCTGCCAAAAAGGAAAATAAGAAAATTCAACAAGAAGAAAACTTGCAAGTGTGTTGGTTTGTGTGTGTAGGCAAGAGATTTTCACAGAGAGAGCCGTACGTAAATTACGGTATATGTGTGTGTGTGTGTGTGTGTGCCAGCGGCAGGACACCCAAAAAGCAAAAGCAAGGAAAAATGTTCATGCTGTTAAGTGGGTGAGAGCGGGGGGCAGTGGAACAGGATTCGGGAAAAGCATATAACGGTTCCTTTTTTTTTTGTTTCTGCTGCTGCTGCTAGCGCCAACGTTGCGCAGTCGCTGCCAGCGTCGCACCGAGTGCCACGAGAGTTTTTGAAAATTGTTTTTGTCACATTTATACTCTCTCTCTCTTCTGTATCTTCGTCCTTCGGAGGCTGCTTTGCGACTCCGCATCAAAACTCCAGGGGTATCTGGTAACTCCCCTCAAGGTTTCCCTCCAGTTTCATTCCAAGGTCCACACACACACACACACACACACACACATGCATCACACTTTCGCATGCACATGTGCTCATCCAATCGGAAATTGCATTGCAGCAGTTGGTCTAATTCGAATTATTCAATATTTCTTCTTGGAATATTTTTCGAACATAACTGCACACTCATTGTACAGCTGAACCGGCTCCCACACATGGCCCCCACACTCACAAATATCCGCGGAAGCGTCACTAAACCATTCATCCAACTGGAATTGCTGTAATTGCAGTCCATTCATTAATAATTGTGATACCGATTAAGCATACGCAAGCATTCCAAATTCCCACCTCCAACTGCACCTGCAGCTACAGTTACACCACCCCACCCCTCTAATTGGATGCTGCTTCAATGAATATTTAAAGTGATAATGTCCAGTACAAGTGTGAGTGAGAGGAAGGCAGTAATCAGAGAGCTCTGCTCTCTCTCATTCTCACCTTCTCATTTCCATTACACTCAATAAGATCAGCATCACACAAATCTCTCAATTAACCTAACCGTACTCATTTGTTCGCGCGTGTGTGTGTGTGTTCTTGTGTGTAATTGAGTGATAATCTAGGTCTCGCTCATGCACACGGTAGCCATGCAGTTTAACAGTTGAATGCATTCGAATTGTCTCTCTAATTGAGTGTATTGGAGTTGTTGGGGTGGTAAGAGGGTAAGTGACAGGCATTGTGTGCATATTTTGTTCAATTAGCCATTTGCGCTCATTTGACAATTGCATCAGCACCAACCGCAAAGAAACTGCGTCGAGAATGAGTCAAAAAGAGAGTGCCGTGGGAGACTGGTACAAAGAGAACGTGTGCAAGCTAAAGAGAAGAAAATCAAACGCAAAATGCAAACAAATTAAAAGCAACACAAAAATTAGCATTAAAAGTAAAGAATATTAAAAAAAAAATATATATAATTGTGGGAATGGAATGAAGCACGCCACACACATTCGCAACCGTAAAAGAGATTTACACAAATTGCGCTAATAATAGAGCGAGAGCAACAACAAATGTACAGAGACCAAAAAAATAAACAAAATAAATACGAATTTTTTTTTGTACCAGTAAGACCCGATCTCATCTCTCTCGCTCCCACGCGAAACACACACACAACAAAACAAAACAAAAAGCTATAGAAATACAAAATTGTTGTTAGCTGCAATTGTTGCCCCTGGTCTATGTACAGTTATAAACATATGCATATATATATGTATGTATATGTTAAGTATATATGTACATACATAGGTATGTGTGTGTATGTATGTAAAAACAGTTTCGGGTCAATTGACTTTTAGTGTAGTGCACACACACACACACCCACAGAGAGCGAGATATGTATGTATGCGCAGGCCAGAAGGAAAAAGCTCGCAAAAAGTAGCAGCAGCGTACGCGCATAGAAACACCGCACGCAACAAATCGCCTGAGCCCCCCCACCCGCACACCCAGCCATCGCCCATAAAGCCTAAGCTCACCACACACACAAACACATGTATGTATGTATATATATATTGCGTACATACCACATAACGCACACAAAGGAAAAAGAAAGCATGCTCTTGGCTCCCACTGCTGCTGTTGCTGTTGCTCTGCCTCTGCTTCCTTTCAAAACCCATGCCTCTGCCTCTGCTTCCTTTCAAAACCCATGCCGACTCCCACACCCACCCCCACTCGGGCTTGCCGCCTCGTCACCGCACCGTGGTTCCAATAAGCTCGAAACAATCTCGAGCGCCTTGATTCTGTACGAGCTCTCTCTCTCTCTCTCTGTCTCTCATTTTGCAATTAGCGAGAGGAGTTTTTTGAAAAAAGTTTGACCGCCCCCAAAATCCCTACGCCTCTGCCTTTCATTATGAGAAGGAATAACTGTGAAATTTGTAAATATTTAACGTGCACAGGGGGGGGGGGGGGGGCGGGTGTTTTCAGACCTGCAACTTTCTCATTAGGGAAAGCTCTCCCCCGAGTGGGTTTTCAGCGAGCAAAGCTCACTGTGAGTTTAATTTGTATTAACTCAAAATGCGGCCGCCACCTGATTCCGTTCCCGTTTGTCAATGACATCAGCATCTTTTTGTGCCCCCACACACTGTGTGCGAATGTGGTGCGGTATGGCATGTCATGTGGTTGTGGAATGACTGTGATGTGCCCCTGTCCTTACTATTTTAGCTTACGTATTCCTTCTCCTTCCCATGGTGCTAACTGCTGCTGCCTGCTGCTGCTGCTGCAGTTGACG